TTCACGAACAGCTTGTAACACTCCAAAGAGAAAGGAAAACTTGAAATCGCATCATATGAGCCCTTTAAGGATGAATGCAGTTTTAATAATTATGTTACAGAAAAGTAATTCAATTATAATTAAGTAGAAATTATATGAATAAATTATATAATTATATATACTATAATAAAATAAAAAAGTATAATCCATAATTGTATACATTGTTATAATGTATAAAATGAATAATTAGAATTATATAAATATAAAATATCTAAATATATTTTTAAATAAATTCCTGGGCTCTTTATGTAATATATGTAAAATACTATTATAATGTAGCAGTTTAAAATATGTGGCACTTGCTATTAAATATATACCCCTTGCAATTGAATATATTAAAACAATGATAATGGTAAAATGGTAAACATGTCCTATCCATAAAACATGCTGAATATAACACTAATTAAACCTTGAGGAAAAAAAGGTCTTTGATTCCTTATTGGTTTGTGTTATGTGAAGTGGAACTCACATCCACCACATGCGAAAAGAATCCGTCATTCCTTCAACTTCAGCGGATGGAGGATCACACAAGCCCTCAGTGACCACTCCTTGTTTGTGTTATGTGAAGTGGAACTCCCTCCATCCACATGCGAAAAGAATCCATCATTCCTTCAACTTCAATGGATGGAGGATCACACAAGCCCTCAGTGATCTGAAAGAGACAATTATCTACAATTGAGCTCTGTCAGGAAGAACAAACCTGCCCTTAATAATCCGTGTGTGGGGGTGCTTTGCTGTTTCAGATAGTCGAGTGTCCTGTCCAAAGACAACGGCCCAGGTAAGTGACGAGCTTGCCCCTTGGCTAGGGTCCTGAACCCCTCCCCTCTCTCTCTGTCTCTCTAGCTCTCCACTCCACATGCTTGGGTGATCACAGGTAGAGGTTGGTTTTACTGGGCCCGAATCCAGACTGTCCTCTCACCTGTGTCTGTTTAATGAAGAACAGGAGGACAGTGTCTGTCTGATCTAAATGACCCACAGCTCTTTGTAGGAGCATATCACTTGACCTTTCCGCAGCTTTTCAAAAGCCTCTTTTGTGCTGCACCGAAGATCATTGGGAGCTTCTTGGGCTGCAGGATTTTGGTGTAGGTTTTTGTCTCTTGCCATTATTTGCCTTTTTTATACATATAAAAGATTTAATGATTCATGAAAGGATAGAAGCAATTTTATTCAATATAATTGCGGTACACAAATGTTAATATATTACACTAAGATAAAAAATAAAGTGACAATAAAAACATTTATAATGTTACAAAATATTTCTATTTCAATTAAATGCTGTTCTTTTGAACTTTCTATTTATATATTTTTTTAAATCCTGAAAAAAAAAAAATATTACAGTTTTCACAAAAATATTAAGCTGCACAACTTTTTTCAGCATTGATAATTATAAGAAACATGTCTTAATCACCAAATCAGCATATTATGGTTTCTGAAGGATCATGCAACACTGAAAACTGGAGTAATGATGCTGAAAATTCAGCTTTGCATCACAGGAATAAACGTATTTAATTTATAATATTTAATTTAATAATATTTTGCTTAATAATATTGAATTTATTATTACAAATTAAAATACATTTCATTTTACATTTTAAATTTTAAGAATATTTCACAAATTTACGGTTTCACTGTATTCAAATAAACAAGAACATTAACATAAACATGTCATTTTGCATTATTTTTTGAAAGGTATATAAGAAATCATAAATCTGTTCACTCAGAAAAACAATACCACACCTCAACAAGTTGTATGATTCATGTCCGTAGCACAAGCAGCTCAAGACAAACTATGTGCTTAAGTGTAATACTTCTGATCAGGGGTTTACTCATGTATGAGCATTAATAATACTCATGCCTTCACAAACATTACCACTTATTCGAAAGAGTCTATGTTTTTGACTTGTCTAACAGCATTAACACCTTCATCGGTGCAGACTGCATTTGATATTCTCCAGTATGATTCAGAAGAACTTGGCTGTAGATTTTGCAAAGCAGAACAATTAGTTATGGACATTGTGTCGCAGGAGACGCAATATTTCACGGTCTTTTCATGCATTATCAGTCCAGTTTAATTAAGTGTGACATGATTTGGACCCAGTAATTCTCACATGGTCTCTATTTCATTCTGGAAGGAATAGCACCATGACTTTTTGTGTCTTAGTTCCAGTTTGCCTTTCCTTGACATTTTCAAATGTATCCCTCAGCTTCAGATGGAATAAATGACTTGGCCCTAGGCAAGAACACTAAGAGTTGGACTTTGTCTAACACTACAAAGCTCTGCTGTCATTATATACAATGCATCTGGAGAAACAAACAACACAGATTGCACACGGGCCCCCGTGAGGCAGAGCGGATTACAAATTAGAGCTCATTTTGAATGATTATCAGAGCAAATCCACATATGGCTTCTAGCCGGGCCCTCACGGACTTTCTCCGTATGCCATTAAAAAACATTTAATCTGATAGATTCATTTGTCTTTGTGTCTGGGCCGACAAAATCAAGGGCAGGCCGGAGCGCTTCGATTGGCCGAAGGATGCATTGACATCAGCAGGGTGAAAGGTTGAGCCAGGACAAGCCTACAGGTTCTGGGGTGCCAAGTTTTGCGTTGAGACTTGCCAGGTGTGAAGGGTTCTCCTTGTTGTTCTTGGGCTTATTTGAACATCTGTGCCGGACTACCGGTCAGGCCCGGCGCTCTGGAATGAATTCAGCCTGAATCTGGCTGCAAATTCCATTTAAACAAGAGGGTAATTTAGCAGAAGAAAGTTTCAGGGCGGACAAGGAAGGTGATTTAGGGATTGGCTATCGGAGTCCCAAACGCAGTGGGTTTCCTCTTCACACCCCATCAAACCCTAGATAGAGATCTGGAACCGGCCTTAAAGTATTACGCCTATGCTAGTTTGAGAAATCCAGCATAATTGCTATGGAAAAATAAACATGCCTACAAAGAGTCATTGTATTTTTATTTAGAAAAATGTCATGTACAGCTTGGCGCGCTGTTAAAAATACAGGTTCTTCTTTGGCATTTATGGTTCCAGAACCTTTAAAGTGATAGTTTGCTCACCCTCAAGCCATCCTAGGTATATATGACTTTCTTCTTTCAGACGAATACAATTGGAGTTATATTAAAAAATGTACTGCTTTTCCAAGCTTTATAATCGCAGTATGTAGTGGTCCAGAAGCAAAATAAAGTGCATAAATCCATCATAAAAAAGTGCTTCTGAAATGAATTGATGCATTTGTGTAAGAAAAATATCCATATTTACAACTTTATAATCTGTAACCTCTAGCTTCCGCTAGCTGTTGCACGCGCGTTCACAAGAGAGTGGTGTCCAGCGGATGACGTATTATGTAAGTGAACAAGGTGACGAACACCGGTCACAAATTCGAAGTACAAAATGAGGATTTGTAAATACAAATGTCGGAGGATTTTGATATAAGCCAACAGGAGACTGGTTTTCCTTTGCTGTAAACAAAACTTGATTCTTGTGAGACTTGCAAATTCTCACTGGAGTTTACGCTATGCCTGCATCCTTCGTCATCTGCTGGAACGCCACTCTCTCATGTACAACAGTTAGCGGAAGCTAGAGGTTTATTAAGTTGTAAATATGGATATTTTATTACACAAACAAATTGCTTCACTTCAGGAGGCCTTTATTAACCCCCCGGAGCCATGTGGAGCACTTTTTATGATGTATGGACGCACTTTATTTTACTTCAAAATCTGAACCACAATTCACTGCCATTAAAAACTTGGAAGAGCAGTACATTTTTCAATATAACTCCGAATGTATTTGTCTGAAAGAAGAAAGTCATAAATACCTAGGATGACTTGAGAGTGATTAAATCATGGGGTAACTTTCATTTTTGGGTGAACTATCCCTTTAACACCCATAGAACCTTTCCATTCTATAAAAGTTCTTTATAGTGGAAAAAGGTTATATTAGATGTTCTTCACAAGAAAAATGGTTCTTTCAAGAACTGTTCAATAAAAGGTTCTTTGGGGAACCAAAAATCTAGCGTATTGTTAGTTCTGGCAGGTCACGTTAGTCAAGCTCGCATCAGCTGATCCCCATCAACCTATAGGAATACGACACCTATCTAAGCATTCATATATAAGGTCCCTCAGTATTATCAGCAGTTTTCGCATTGCTCAATAGCTAATTACCCTTCTCCATCCCCAACTCCTCCTCTGTCAGTCAGGATTCAGCCTTCTGATTCTCCTTTGAATCAGACTAATTCTAAAATGTGTACATAAAATTATTGAACTTTAACGATATATGCAATACATTTATGTTGGTTCTGTTCTGTTTACCCTGGGGGGGTTATCACTGCTCTCCCTGCTCTCATCCATGCTAGGCTGTGACGATAGTGGTCCTGACATAAATGAGTTCTTCTATGGCATTACTGTGAAAACCCCCTTTAGGAACCATTGTCCATATTTTCCCCAGGTTTTCAAGGGCATTTTTTCCTTTTTAAGGACACGTTTAATTTCTAATGTATAACATCATGCTCATTTATGTCAAATAAATGACATAAAAACAGATTTTTTAGTTCTATAGAGGGTTAGCTTATTTTTAGCTTATTAAAATGTTTTTCTTAAAAGTAATGGTTCTTTATTGGCATCTGTAGAGGAACCTTTAATATCCATAGGACTTTTCCAATGCAAAAAAGGTGCACAAACACTGGGCAAAGGTTCTTTAGATTATTACAATTTTCTTCACACTAGGAAAAATGGGTTTTTAAGAACCGTTCAATGAAAGGTTCTTAAGGGAACCAGAATTGGTATTTCTATGGAGTTGCTGTGAAAACCCACTTTTTAGATTGTGAGGTATTTTGCAGTGATGTGTGCTGAAGGTGTGGAAGCCATTTCTTCTGGATTTGAAGGGATGTGGTTTTGTGCCACGAACGCTATGTTCCATCTGGACATTCAGTTTTGGCCAAGGTCAGAGTTCATGCTCCTGAAATGACAGTCCCCACAGCCCTAAATTGGCCCATTTATTTTTAGTCTAAACAGGGCAATCCAAGCTATTAAAAGAAAGGCCAACATGAGGCAGTGTGCTAATTGCAGCTGGTCAGACAGCACTTTCTCTCCTCAATTGCTGCCATATGTTCCCATCAAGACGTCTTTTCGATCACCTTCTCTGCATCCAATTCACTTTCGCTATGGAATATTTTGAATATTGTCAAGTTGTAAAAAATAAAATCTAGATCTAATTCATGAAGTAAAAAAAAAATCTTGATATGATAGGGGGAAAAAAGTCTCATAAAATGAATGAAATTCTTGAAATGATTTATTTATTAGAAAAAAAAATATTTTAACAAAAATTGGTTCGTTGCTTATTTTATAAATTTTTTTAAAGTCTGAAACTGTCAATATATAATAACAATTAAAATATAGACGTTACATTTTTAGAAGTCGTAGTCATTAAAATTCATAATTAGTTTTGATAAAATATGAACATTTCTAAGATCTTGGCATGTGTGTTTCTCTTTTCTTTTTTAATTCCAGACACTCTTATATGTCAACCTTTTGCTTGTTCATTTGGTTATTTGTGCATCTCGCTCATCTATGTAAATGAGAAAGCTTTGTTATTTCTACACTGGCTGTGAAGCGGAATATACAAATAAACCAGTTATCACGGATTTAGCGCTGGAAAGTATCAAAGGATTGGGAACGTCTGTTTTTGGACAAGAAAAGTAATTGGTTTGATTAGAGCCTGGTTTTGGACAGACTAAGGGTGTGTTCACACTTGTAGTTCGGTTCGATTGGTTCATTT